AGCGGCAGAGAGCAGGGGATTGATAAAAAATAAAGACAAAGAAGACAACCGCACTTCATCTTCATGTTTATGATACAGAGTACAAACACGCATTCACTATTCGGCCGCAATCAATCCTAAAGTATTGAAGCTGACTGGTTTTTAAAGCAGCCACACGAGCGATTTCTTTTCTTTTAAAAAAGAAAGCGAAAAATTTGTATTAATATTGATTGTTTGCCATCAGAGATTCCATATTCCAAGTATGGAAACGAGACAAATGAAAATAACGATAGAATTATCACAGGCTATAAATAAAAGCAACGATGAGCACAAGCGAATTATGAAGACAAAGACAAACTGTAGCAGTACAGAATCAATGCTTCTACACGGTAAATTTACTTCTAGCATTCTGTTTTTGGTATGATGTTGGTATTTATAATGCCGTCGCTGTTACCGTTGCTCTTTCCGTTTGACACGAAAGCATCATCACATCGAGTGGAAGAGCATTTCTATGTTTTCGATGCGAAAAATTATGTGTTACAAATATGAATTTTCCTCTTTTTTTCTTTTCCTTTCTCGCTCTTCGAACATATATTCTGCATACTCTTCACAATGACGGCATACTTTAAGTAAAGTGTCATTCAAAAATCATACAACAAGTAATCCTAGATGAATGAGCCAGAGAAGCATAATGCACGCGTACTCACTTCCATCGATGTTAAGTTAACGATAGCACTTCTTGACCTGTCATGTCATCTTCAACCAATGGCGGTGATTAGACTTGAACAAGCAAAACAACACGGGCATACATTTTCAATGAAAAAAAAAAGGATCAGCTAAAAAATACACACCTAAGAAAGCATAGAACGTAGAGGAAGATGAAAAAATGACGCTAATGTTCTGTTGCAATCAAATGACCCCAAAACTGTATACCTTGTTCTTTTTTCTTTGCTCCGTGTACGGTGTGCGTTAGTGTGTTATGTCAAGATGATAATATGAGTGAGACCGTTAAATGTTGAGAGCACATTTTATGCCCCGTATAATGACTTTTAATGCAATTCGGAAGCAAATAATTTGTTATTGTTAAAACATTTTAGATGATGAAGAGCAAGCGAATATTCGCGATTTTTTTTATATCGTGTGTATGATTTGCCTTGTTCCTAATTACGACAGCAAAACAACAGGCCCATTTTTTTGTTTTGTTTTAGAGGAATATTAATAAAGGAAAAAAATACTTGTGAAAAAAATCAGCTACAATTTAACAGTTAGATTTCATTACAACGACACATTTTATACATAATTAATGAAAACACGATAGAAAGAGAGATAGAGAGTGGGAGGAATGGATTACATGGCATTCACGTTGTATATAAATGTATGACAATTGTTTTGGTCTTTAATTCTGGAATCAATATATTTCGTGTATACACGTGAAACGCTTTTATTATTCATTTTGAACGGTTAAGTGATTTTTTAAGGTATATTGATTTAGTAAGATCTGAACATTTCGTCTATGTATAATTTATTTCTAAAAAAAACTTTCGGTGTTCTATATACTCATAAGTAATTTTTACGTGGGAAATCGAGTATAAAACCAAGTCACAATTCAATTCAAATGTATTACGGGATTCCGTGATATTTTATTGTTGGAACATTTAGAGCATTTGAATCAAATACGGAGCAAATGAGCCTGAGTTATATGTACTTGTACTCATCAAATTTTCCGAAAATCACCAATACACGCTAATCCATACATACACACACTTTCTCTCACTGTCACTCTCACTCTCCTTCTCTCTCTTAAACACACACTCACACACTTCCACAAAATAATTATATACACATGCATTGAAAGCGAATGGCGGTATGCTCAACACCGATCAATATTAAACATTCAATAAAGATTCCCATTGTATTTGAGCGCGTATCTCTTGTTCTCACACTTCGTTTTGAAAATTCTATTCGTCGTCGTGCTCGTGCGATGTGCCAACGTGTATAGTATTATATAAAGCATATCATCATATTGAAAATATTCGGTTGTATGCTCCCACCATTGCCTTTTTCATCTTTTGCCATTCAGTTCGGTTGCTGTTGCTGCCTCTAATGCTTCTTCTTCTTTTGTTATTTTGAAGCGTTGTCATTGCTGGCAGTTGTTATTAGTCTTATTTTCGGCCGATGTGTACTGCTGTAGCAAGGTTTTTTTTCCTTCGTGAACATTTTTCCATAGCATAGAACAAAGTGTGCGCGTTCGCGTATGATAGGGGAGAGGATGGTTTGAAAACGTACAAGTACAAATGTCATTTAATGTGTGTCGGAATTCCAATGCAAATATGCTCCCGAAAAGAATTCAAAAACTAAGAAGTCTTTGGCTAACAATGTCACAAAAGCGACCGCAATTTTAATTCATACAAAAAAGCCATTCGATCTTTTGATTTATCTTTTTAGACGAATTAAACTTTGAAAATGTGCTGTTGCCATTAGTGGTTGTTATTTTAAATCTTTAATGGTGTTTTTTTTTTCCAACAAAATCTATCTTTGCTTATCCCTTCTTTCGCTCTATCTTTTCTATGTAACTTGTACGATGAGATGAAAATGTCGCATTCAATTCAAAATACACACATAGTTGGTTGTTTGCTTTTGGTATTTCTTCATTTTTAAATTCATGCGAGAGTTCATGATTGCTTTGTGCAATTTTCTCAATTGGCCTTTTTGGATAATTTTGTCGATCTTACATTCGTGCACACAAGATAGCCAAACAGAAGATGTAGAACGCGAGAGATCCTACTACATTTTTTGTGTAACATTCGAACCGAATGAACCGAATGATAAAATGAATAACCACACAAAAAAAAAACACAACGCATTCGAGAGCTACGAGAGAGTGAAATATTTTTGGGAATTGTGTCTCTGCTGTATGCTCGGATATCCGTGCTCGGTTCGAGGCAAGTTCAAGTTGAATTGACTCCCTACGCTCATCTGGTACACCACAAAGACACACACATATATTTATTAGAGATGTAATGGTTTCGGTCTGTGCATGTCTTTTTTCTTGTCATTAGTTACTGTGGAGCAAATCTTTTGCACACAGTCAAGTAGTCGGTGTGCCGTTTGGTGTTCGTATTTCAGTAAATTTCTTACTTTTTACAATAAAATCAATTCACAGGAGACATGACAAATACCAAACAAGTTTACTTGATAAATTTAATAATCTATTAAAAGCATTGTGAAATCCCATGTGAGTGGCTGTCGAGGTCAAATGAAGGTGACAATTTAATCATATCGCTTAACATGATTCGTACACATTTCAGTTAATGGGCACAATGTCTCTGTCACAATTCAATGGTTTTGTTGAAAATCAATGGGTTTGCACCTTTTGCTCTCTATCCCTTTTGCTTTTGTTTGTCTGTCTGCTCATCTGTCTCAGTTTCTCACCTCAGTTAAATCGGTTTGGCCAATATTTTTGCACAACATCAAAATTCAGTGTACGTTTACGGAAAATCAAGCCATTCGGTTCGAAATTCAAAATCAAAACCATCTATTCGGCTCATTCATCAAAATGCTTTCGAGAACACGGTCACTTTCATTTGATTCTAACATGATATATCAAAATTTGAGTGTCATATGTGCATAATAGACAATTACACTAAAGAAAATATATACGAGCACAATGCTAAACCATCAAACTCAAAAATGCTTACTATTGTTTGAACTATTGAATTGATCGGAGGATATTTGTCTATACTTGTGAATGAGTGAAAGAGCGATAGAGAGAGAGAAAGTCTATTTCTCATTTACTTTGAAATTTGTCTGTGTCTTAGTCACTCGGTGCTAAGCACTTAAGCGTGCTAATAAATTTTCAATGCACGAACACAAATATTTAGACAAAGATATAACAAAATGAGATTGTCTGTATTGAAATGTATTTGTACACATTTCTGCGTTGCAAGGTTGAATGTAATGGCATTTAATTTTAATTAAACCATCTCGGCTAATTTCCAATATTTTCACTCCAACAATAATCGATTGACTGTTAATTGAAAAGGTTTTGAAAATCCATAGCAAAATTAACAAACATCTCAAGTCGAGATTAAATGTTTCGAATATTTACGGATTGAAATGCTTTCAACAACTCCATTTTGTACATTAAATTGCTATGGTTGCCGATCATCTTCATCGCCTTGTTCGCTCATCTATTTTCATTAAAATTGTTTCGAGCCATCTTCGAATATCTCCAAAAACTTTCAGCGTACACACACACACAAACGCGCGCGCTGCAAATTCACAAATCGATTCAATATTATTTGAATGGTTATACGATAAATTGAGGACATTCATTTTACGGCAAGCGATAGCGGGCCGCACTTTGTTTCATCAAACTTGATATAATATTATTCTTATAATCATATCTAATAATTGACCGATATTTATTATTCAAAAATTGCTTGTCTTTTCGATGGTTTTTGTTGCCGATTTTCTGTTGGTCGTTTAATGTCGGCATTTTCGAGCACAATAATGGTAGTTCGAATTTGTTTTGAATAAGTTTTTGATGATTGATGAGAAAACTTTATCGAAACAAAAATCAAATTTTCACTAATATATTCGCTGCGATAAAATGATTTTTGGTCTCGTTATGACTCTTTTTTCTTCCCTTCTGGTCGATGACTTTCGGGTCATATTAGATTTGTTAATATGCATGCACCCGATAATTATTTCTTTTCATTTATTTCCATTATCACAATTCAAATTACAGTTAAATTAAATTAACTTATATATACAGTTTTACAATAATTTCGAAAAGTATTGCAATCGCATGCACGACCAAGTTAAAAATCACTAATTTGAAGCCTCACAAAGCGCGGCTCAATTGAAATTTTTATCGAAAACTATATATTTTATCGCCTTTTTGTGTTTTTATTTATAGAAACGTGATTTTTTTTAAAAAAGCATTATTTTTTATTCTCTTGAGATGATAATAATTAATAGGAAGAAAAAAAATGGGTAAAAATGTGCACAACACTTACAATCATATGCGGAAAGTCAACCTTCCCTTGACGAACAAGTTCTATCATATGAACCATATGGATTCTTTTTTCGGGTAAAAGTTTAAATAAATTTTCCACTTTCTGTCGATACAACGACTTTAAAAATAGTTTTTAATTACGTGAGTGTGTGTGATTTAAAGAATGGCTTTTTTATCTTATCTTTGCTTCAGTTTGCGTGTATGTTTAGTGTTCAAAATGTTGTTACACACCTATTTTTTTTTCTCTAACTAAGTGTCATACACGAACATTGGTTTTTATTTTTAGTTTGATTTCTCTTGAACTGCCAATTTTCTTATCACGCCAATAAAAAATTATGTTTTTTTTACTATTTTATTATTGTTTTTATATCATTCAATATCAATAGATTTTTTTTCTCCTTTTCTGTCACAAACGCACGTAAAGCACATGGATTTTGAACTAAACGACGAAAAATATATTTTGTATCACAAATTACGTCAAACTCAGTTCAGTCTCTTTATGTTTTTTATCTCTTCTTTCTATTTGTTTTCTATTTTGAATATCAGTTTTGGTTTTGTTTTCTCAATTGTTCTCTACTGCGGATTTTTCTTGTATAAATGGCGATATTCACTAATTTTAATAAGAATATTGAAATTTAATTTGCAAAATCACAATAAATTAATTTTAAATTTAAAAAAATATATATATTCCATTCGTTCATTTGATTATTAAAAATCAAAAAAAAAATTAAAAAAAACCGATGAGCTGGATAAAACAAATGATAATAATAATTAAATTTAATCCACTCAACAAGAGCATATTGCAAAATGATCGAATGTCTGAATAATCGAAAAATCAATCAAAATAGATGCCATATGGTTTTTACGAAAAACAAAACCGTTCGCATTCAAGTCAAGTGATTCAAATTCGTTTCCGTTGTTTCAAAAACACAAGAACACGAACCCGAAATTAACTGAACGAAAAAAAGTGGATAATGAAAATATAAGCACTTTTTCGGTGGTTGTCGTCGTCGTTAAATAATTTCGACAAAAAAATAAATAAACAAATAAGTGATCATCTGAATGTTAAAATCGCCAAATGACTCAGTCAATTTGATTCGTTCATTGTGATAGTGTGATAAGCGAACAACAACCGGACCGCATCGATGCACAATCGCAAAACGTTCAAATCTTTTCGAATTTTGTTTTCAGTTACAACTACTTGGAAACACGAGAAATGCGTTTTCGAGCAGTCCGCCACTGTGTGTTCACTCTTCTTTAGACTTCAACAGTTGTTTATTTTTTTCTCGTCCCGTTCGCTTCTTTATGCATGTGTTCGCAACACCGAATTTAATTTGTTACGTTTTCGTTTTTATTTTTCGTAATTTGGTTTTTTACACTTTCAATTAAACAATAAAATGGTTGAATATTTTTTTTACATCGAATTTTGTTGTTTTATGGTGAAATTTAGAAAGTTTTGTTTCTTATTGTTTTTGTTTTCATTTATAAGAATAAACTGAGCACATACCGATCGATTGATTGAACAAACGAGACATGAACAAATTATCAGAAAAATGTAGATATAAAATGATTAATTCAAATGATTTTCTCCCATTGTTCGGGACGCGAAATAGAAAAAAATGAATGAAACAAAACAAAATTGTGAACAAAACTTGCTTTGATTTTCGCTAAAATATCTTTCGGAATGATAGAGAGATTATGTGGATGTACGTGGTAAGCGTGTAAATAACAAACAACAAATATACAATAAATATGTAATAAAGGACTGTGTATGTCGACTTAACTACACAAAACTCAATCGCAGACTAACAATATGAAAAATATCACGTCGTAATAAAACACATACAGCGTAGCCCCTAGTTGCTTGTCGCCATTGCCGTCACTCGGTTTCATCGTGTGTTCATGTGTTCATTGCACAATGAAAGAGAGAGAGAAAGCGACGAACATTTCATATTTTCCACAGCAAGTGGTGGAAAAACGCTTTCATACTGTATCAGTGGAAATCAACGCGCGAACGTGTATACGTACGCACCGTACGACAATGATGAGGAACCGTGGCGGTTTATACCCCAGACACGAATTGAATAGATGAAACGCCACTCACTCACTTGCACGCTCACACATTTCCATCACACTCGCTCGTTCGCTCTCTTTTAGGCAGATTTGTGCTCGGCCAAATGCAGAATGGCAAACGGTGAACGAGAGAGTACGGACGAAAATGAGAGGCATAGATCCATCCTCTATTCACGTTGAATGCGTTCAAGGATGACGAGCATGACAAAAGCAATGTAGTTTGTGAAAGCGTATGTACCGATTGATGTCAATATCGACAAATCGAATCGAACGACTTTTACAGTTCTCGCTGCTGCTGCTACTGCTATTGCTTATGCCGAGTAAGCTTTTCCTTTATATCGTCTCTTTCTCTCTTTCAACGGCCGAAAGATGCGTGCATGCACACTTAAAAATGTGTGTAAATTTTCCATGCGTAGACACATCATGATGAGTCTCTTCTTGTTGTTAATTCGGTGACAAGCGCTGATGCGTTTCCTCCACTAAAATACCGTGTGTTTCTTTGAATTTGTGAATGTGTATTCCGCACGATTCTAATGAATTCACTTGTTTGTTTGTTTATTTGTTTGTATGCGTAAGTGTGTGTGTGTGTGCGTGTTCTGGTGTGCGAGCGTGCATGTTATGAGTTTCAACAAAGTTGTTGTGACTGTTTGTTTTATTTCTCTCTTTATACACTCGACTTTGCGTCCCGTTTTATGTCTCGGTCGCCGTCAATGTGTCAGTATCACACATTCGATGCATGGATGCGTGCGATAATTTTGCGTATCTATCTGAAGGGATGGATGATGGTTGAACGATAAGAATGCGTATCCTGTGCGTGCGACCAAGTATGCGTACGCCAACAACTTTACGCAATGAAATGATTCCCTTTCTCTCTTTTCATTCGTATCCCTCATTCAATCTCACGCGCGTACGCACACACAAGCACACATATACCTTTGTATTTCAATGGATTTTTGACATACCAAATGATGATAACACACTCTATATATATATATGAACAGTATTTGAGTATTTTCGATTTCCTCTTTACGGCGCAGAACAGTCACAGCGCCAGCAATGGTATTTTCCATATTGATGTTATTGTCGAACACCATGTGGAGTATATTCACCAGTTTAGTGGAATTGATAATGATAATTTTCCTTCGTATATATATAATGTTTGCTTATTCACTACTTTCGCTTTTTATAATTGTGAAATCGGGTACAATTCTCGACAAAAAAGGAAATGGAAACCACATCATGGTGCCAACGAACATCCGAATACAATAAAGTCCGAGACGATTAAATCCATTGGGACAGTATGAAATCGCCAGAAATGCTTACTCCACAATCACAATGATGATTTAAATGTAAATTTCATCCTCTTAAAATACAAATTTAAATTGTGAAATGTCGACCAAATATTCATAAATCGAGAGAAATATGAATGTGTTCATAAAGCGAATGTTCACACGATGACTTGGAAGCTTTTATACTCTTATGGTTTTCGTTTATTTTTCTTTGCTATGAATTTCAGGCAATCGGAACCCCTTTTGAATGGATATGATGAATCTATCGCACAAAACATATATACATATGCTCTAGCATAATAGCTTTTCGGGCGTAAATAAATGCTAAAAACATTGCGTGAATGGAAAGCGTTCGGTAGCGCATTGTTTGTTGATAACACCACAATTAATACGCACCTTTGCACATGCAATTTCCTTTTCACGCAATCGGTATTAATGTTGAGCTTGGGTTTTTTTTCTTACTGCCCAAAGTGTGTATATGATAATATTTTCCGTTATTACCTTCGGTAATGAAGGGAAATAGAGAGGCAAGCGAGAGCAAAAGAAAAAATAAAATAAAAACAGAAGCGGAATTCAACGTCTATTCATAGGTTTATACCCTATCATCGTCTTAATTTATTCGACCGTGTCTATTTATTCATTTTCATTATCATTTGGGGTTGGCACACTCTTTTCAACTTGGTCAGTTTTCGTTGTTGTTGTTGTTGTTGTTTTTTTTTGTGGTTTTGTTTTGCCATCAAACATTTGAAATGAACGGGCACCCGTCCCGTTTACAATCGTTTCAGTTTTTAAGCCAATCCTTAGCATTGTGTCATCGCGTTGATCCATTTGTCAGTCGTTGCATTGCAAAAGAGTTCAATGTTGATCCAGTTTATGATTTTTCTTCTTTCTATTCGGTGAGTCGACAATAGTTCGACTCAAACAATGGCCAAAATACGTAGCCGATTTGTTGATACCATACACAGAAGATGATGATGATGATGATGATGTAATAATGCGAGTGAATAGAAACGAAAGCATCTTTCGTATAAATAGCAAAACAATGAGGGATGCCAAGAGATATATAGATTGAGAGAGTGGAAGCGAATTAAATGCATACATACATGTATATCCGTAGATAGAGTTCATTTGGCGAAGAAAATATTATTATCAGAACGGTATTCGTTATGCAAGGCTTTTAAAACCAAATCGGATTCAAACTAATTTTCTCGTTTTTGTGCGGCAACTGTCATTAAACTGTAATAATAATGTATGGCATCAGCTCAGCATTGAATCGACCACAAAGCCAAATGCCATATTCTCATTCATATATTCACGTACGCCAATGGCGCGTGAATAGCGCGCTCTCACTCAATTCACATTCCAATGCATATAGTTTTGGTAAGTGCGCGAAAAGCATAAAGCGAATACATCTTATGAGCTTATTCATAGTAAGTCGCTCGACATCTTTGTCACATGATCACATAAACTGCCATTGTGCACGCTGCTCCACAACTGCTGTTGCTCTGCTATTCCACCAGCACCAATCTATCGATTAGATATTGTGAATGTAAGTCACTGAAGCCAATAAAGCTGGCAACGTTTTCGTTGTACGTAATGGTGATATGATTAATCGTCTATAAATCATATTGTACATAATTTTCGGTCAAACCGTAATGACATTTATGAGCGTTTAATGCCGTCGATTTTGTGTTATGTGCGTGTACTTACTTACTCTACCCTCCATAGAAAGCAATTCATTCACGCAACGCACACACACACACACACATACACAAGCGCACATACCACACACTTTCGACAACTTCATCTTATAGAATTTTGGCGCTACATGTTCACTGTCCATTCAATTTTATTATCTTCTGTATCCATATCTATTAAAAAAGTTTTCTTTTTATGACCCTTCTTATTATAAATCTTTTTATATGTGTATAATACACACTCGCACCAATTTTGGCTCTGTGATATTTTTGTAGATGTGCGCGGAAAATTGAACGTAACAATTTGGTTCTATTAAACTTTTTCTAAGTGGCTTCGATTTCGATTGGTTTTTTGCAAAACTAAAGATTACTCATTCTAATTTTATGAAAAATTTGTCTTCGAATCGGTTTGTAATAATCATGCAATTACAAAAATATATTTTGAATTCGCTTAACAACTTCGGTGAATTGGTAAGTGGGAAGTTTCGTGTTACACTTCTCCTGAATTCGGCTTCATATTCA